AAATCGAGTCGCGTCAAATCCCATAAAAAGAAAACTCTCTCAATATCTATTTTTTTATTCACAAAATTTGAATTTGAAAGTTTATTTATAAAAAAAAAAAAACTGAATTTCTTTTATTCGGATCAACATGCCATTAGTTTACCCTCTTCTTAATTCAAACATACTATAAGAGTACAATCCAAAACACTGTTTTAATTCTAATTCAACCAACACCTTACGCAGAGTCTTGATACATACTTTAGGGGCATAAACTCTTAAACGATTATACCATGATAAAAGGCATGCAATGATATTGACACTATTTAAAAACTACGTACCAATCAACATGTGATTTTCTCTCCCAAAATAAAATGTGATTTTCTCATCTAACAATCCAAAGACTTTCTTTATATTTGTTAATTAATGATAAATAATCAATTAAAAGTTTTTAAATTTGAACCATGTAACATATAGATGAATTGAGTAAAATGATAAGAAGTTACTTACATTTTCCAGCAACCTAGAATCAAAGGAAAAGGCAATTTTGATTAGAAAAAAGATTAGGATACACACCCATGAATCTATTCAAGTATACTTTTCATCAGCAATCCAATATGTTTTCACCATAGTCATTAATCATTGGCGGACTGTTAATTTCGAAATTCATACAATCTATTAAGAAAAAAATTAAAACAGGCTAAGGAATTAATTTCATGAATTCATGATGATCATTAGTAGTTCCACAAACATTCTAAATCTTCCATATCTTCATGAGACTTGATGCTCTCAATTTCGATCCTGGACGAAATCTCGTTGTTCATATCGATACTGAGCCCAGTGTCCTGAGAGAGAGGTACCATAGACTGGTTAGAAGCAAACTGTTCTACCTTGCACTGCCTGGTGTTTTCCTTGGATGCGGAAGCTTTTAAAATGGCCTGATCATTGCCCCCAAACCTGGTGACGCTCCTCCCCTGGTACAAGCGTGCAGAATTTGGGGAGGATTGGTAGGGGAAAAGAGGGTTTTGCAGTGGAATTATTTGAGGTTGGTGAACGGACATTCCTGATTGGTAGCCCGTGTTTGGAGGCGGCTGCAGAATGTTGGGGAAGCCATGGGAGCTGAGGTAGTTCCCATCTGCAGATCTTGATGATGAAGTGACATTGAATTCCTCGTCTCCTTCCCCAACTAAAAAGCTTGAGTTGGGGTGGTCGGAGGTGGAGGTGTAAGGAGGAGTATCCAGGAGAGTTGGGAAGGAGGAGTAATCCAAAAAGTCATCGCCAAATGAATTGGTCCTCAAAAGCTCAGGAATTGGTTTTTTCATGATGGTTGTGTTTTTGTGGAAAACCCTACACACCACCCATTCATCCTACAAAAGAAGGAAAACATGTTCAAAAGGTAAGTTACCTCTGGATTTAGTTTTAGATTCTAGATACATAAACAATGGGGAAATGGTATAAAAATAATTTTTGTATAATTTTTTTAATATAATTTTTATATATTATTAAATAAGTAAATATATTTAATATTATAAATTTTAAATAAATAAAAAAATTAATTTTAAATAATATGAAAGATAATATAAAAAATAATAATTAAAAAAACCCAACAAAACAATAAAAAGATTGCGAATATTTATTTGAAAAGTGAAATTAAGGGAAATTGAAATCTATTAAATTTAAAACTTTAAATTTTATATTAAGATTAAAAATTCAAACTACTACTATAGCTACGCGTTTTAATCGGAGAAAAGAAACAAAAAAGCATGAATTTTTTTATTTTTATTTTTATTATTTTTTTACCTTTTCACCCTTAGGGAGGTTGTAGTAAGAAAATTTGCCTTCGAGTCTGTACTCATGCATGATCCAATTGGTTTTCTCCCCTTTTGGAGCTCTCCCTTTGTAGAAGACAAGGGTCTTCTTCATCCCTACAAGGCAGCCTTTTCCCTTGAAGATCTCTTTATCTTTTCCGGTGGCCTTCCAGTATCCAGCCTCTGTTGCACGGTTTGTCCTCATCCCTGTTGGATATTTCCTATCTCTCTGGCAAAAGAAATACCATTCTTTTTCTCCCATCTTCGCTTTCTCTGCAAACAATTGAACAAAACAAAGATCAGAAGCAAACCAAATCTGGTAATAGTAAAATTGAATACTCCAAAAAGAAAAGAAAAGAAAGAAACAAGCAAGCTATATATATATAGCCTCCTTGAAGCAAAAACAAAATACAGAAATTAAGAGAAATAAGCTTACTGGGTAAATCCCAAGGTTCACACTTGTTCAAATCAACTTCCCCAAAAGCACTTGCACTGAACCTGCTATTCATTACCTTCTGAGTAAGATAATGAGTTATGATCTCCTCATCCGTAGGGTGGAACCGAAACCCGGGGGGCAGATCAAGGATTTCTTTCCCTTTGGCATCGACAACAGCCTGATCTTCCATATCCAGAAAGAATATGAATGGAATTCAAGACAAAAACCCCAAACCCAGAAGCCTAATTAAGTTGTATATGTATACAAGGAAGAAGAAGATATGTATTTATGTACGCGAAAAAATGGATTATAAAGTTCTAATTAAAGAAGATACAAAGAGCAGAAAGAAATCTGAAGATGTAGAGAGGTCAGTTAAGAAAGTAGAACAAATGGGAAAAGGGGAGCTTAAATAGAGGAGAAGATGATGTATGTGTTTGAAGAAGATGGAGAGAGAACCGTTGGCCGCAAGGTGCTTGTTGAAGAAGCCTAATCGGGGAAAATTCGTTGGTAGTATTTTGTTTGTTTGCATAGATAATAATAATTTGTGTCATGTTTGTGTGTTTCTGAAGCTTAGACGCATCCCCATGTTGGAAAAAGGATGTCAAAAAATAAAAAGGGAAACGGTGAAAAGATGGCTTTTCGATCTAGATTTCCGTCGCCCTTTCACATTTAAAATATTTCGTTTTACATGTGCTTAGATTCTTAATTATCATCAGAGCTTTTGAAAATGGAAAAGGAGTTAAAATTTTATTTTAATTCTCAGAAGCAGGAAATGTTGAAGATGCCTGATTTTTTTGTTGTTGTGGAGATGTCAAATCTATTAAATTGAATCAACGGTGGCGCAGCTAAATTTGGTGGGTATTTTGATTTGGTTTTGTATTGGCTTTGGCAGGCTGACTCAGGTTCATATGGACCTTCCAATGCAGGGAAGAGGCATGTATGCAGAAATACCGTGGTTTTAATACTAAGTAAAATCCTGAATTTATGACCACAATATAATATGTTATTAAATCACTAAATAAATATAATATTATATTTAAGTAAAACGTGTTAATTATATGAAGACACATTTTATATTATAATTTTATAATAACACGTAATATTATAATTATATTATTTTTTAATATGTATGTCCATAATAATTTTCTTTAGTAATTTAATATCAGTTAATTAGTAAACTAATATTATACATGCATTCTTGTATGACTGGGTTAGTAGTGTTGGGAATAAAAGGGGTAACCCCTCGCTAATTTCAAAGGAAACCACTCCAATTGGAAGGAATCCGGGGGACTAAAGAAATTCCACACCCAGAAAAGTCAAAAAATGAAAAAATGGGAGTGTGAGATTCCAAAGAAATTTCGTAGATGCTTTCTAGTTTCTAGATGGTGTCAGAAATTTTACATTCATGCTCAGACCCATTCTTCTTCTTTTACAGTTCAAATATCACCACGTGAAACAGTAGAAAATTAGAAAATATTTGGAGAAAACATATAACACACCTCCCTAGGCACCCTTAGTCCTAGAAGAGTTCGGAAATAAGATTTATAATAAAGAATTGCAGCGGAAATAAAAACACTTTTGAAAAAGAAGATCATAAATACCTGTAAAAGAAAACCACTTTAACAAGTCAATAAATATATATTGACAAAGTGCCAAAATATTCAAAGTTATAAAATAAGCCAAGCTAAGCTCATTTATAATTAGTTTAAAAGTTTTATACATAAAGCTAATTTACACAAAAATTATGAGGCAAATTTCTTCTTCAAAGCTTTCCAAAAAAAACAAAAGCTGAGTCATGGTTTTGGTAACACATCGATCTGCCTCCCTATTGAAAACACGAGGCCCTAGCTGGTACATACAACGAGCATGCGAGTCCCGTGCCAAAAGCTCCTAAACTGAGATGCTGCTACTCGATCTACTGATCTGAAATGGGGGGGGAATTTTATGAGCTCACAGCCCAGTAAGTAATAAGTTTAGGCTATAAACTTGGGTCCTAAGACCCTTAGACCTATCCACACAAAGAGCATAAGACACAACGGAATCAAATCATAAGCACAATGTCAAGTAATAATCAATGACATTTAAACTGAATTCATATACTAAAGTCATATGCTCACAATTACGATGTCACATGCGCAATGCATAAAAATCGAAAATCACACAATGCTATGGAGTCCACTGAGGTGTGCTAGCAACACTGTACCGGAGCTAATCACGGTACTAACCCTACTGCGCAGAGGTCCACTAAATACCCCGAAGGGTCCACTGAATACCCCAAGCTTTAAGCTTAGGTCCACTTACTCCATAGCCACAAACACATACACATGTCAAACAAATTCATAATATGTCCAAAATAATATTAGGATTTCCTATTGAAAGAGATCAAAGCATAATGCGTGAACAGTAATCGATGAACAGTAATCCGTGAACAGTAATTGATGAACAGTAATCCGTGAACAGTAATCTATGAACAGTAATCCATGAACAGTAATTATAAACAGTATCGGTGAACAGTAATCGGTGAACAGTAATCCGTAAAATAATCCAATTTCCTCCTAATTTCTGCAGCAAAAATCACATTCAAATCAAACAATAGAAAAGACTAACTCACTATTTTTGCCATATAAGCCCAAAATTAATGATATTTCTAATCAAAGTTTAATACCCAAAAACCTTATAAATCAAAGGACTAAAATCAAATCTCACTAACTTAAACTACCCAAAACTCTAACCCAAAATTCATAACTAAAACTTATACTTACCTAACAAAAGCACCTTAACCTTGGTGGAGAAAGGAGGAAGAAAATGATGTGGGTGGAAGAGGAAGGCATGAGAAAGCAAAATGAGGCTTTTGGGAGGCTTCTGGAGACTTATCCAAGCTTCCACCGACAAAGACCAAAAACTTGGTTGGGAAAATGCCATGTGGTAAACAAAATTGGCATAATTGAGTTATGGTCACTCAACTTCTACTTAATTCTACTTAAAGCCCCCAAACTTTCAATTCAATCAATTTAGTCCCTAAAACTATAAACTAAAGGACACTAATTTTTAAATTATTCACTAAGGTAT